TCGATGCAAGCAAGATGCGTTTAACGCCGGAGTATTTGGCAACTTTCCATTCCGTGGGTCGGTAATGTTTTATGACAGGGTGAGAAATAGTTCATTTACTCGGTGTTACTCTTGAAAGTATTACCTTACTAAAGAAGTAATAGTGATGACTAAGACAGGTATTTCAGAAGTTCAACAAAGGGCCACCATCGCTTCTGAACTATGATTGTCTCTATAGCACTCTACTGGGCCCATGACATGCTCACGATATTGTGTGATGGCAAGTTACTGGACTTTGTACTCTGCGTTAGCAAACATCCAGATGCTGCTGTGAAGTAAATGCGATTTCTTTCTTTAAATGCTGCCTTCTTCAGCGACAGAGCATAATTTGCACTGTGGCCAAGTCATTAGGGATAACGGCTTCCTCATTTGACGTTGGACGCCTATTCGGCTGCAGCTGCATTAACAAGATCAGAGTCCATTCCAGGATAAAACCCGGCGACATGACAAACCCCCCAGCGAGTCGCGCCAGTCATCGAAATCAGCCCGACAATAGATAAATGCTGCCATTCAAGACACTCCATCGATCAGACAGGTGTTTACCGTGAACCGTGTGACCGTTTTGCAGTGATCAGAGTAAGCAGACCGCCAGGCCCGGTACAGCGGCGTTATGGGTGGAGGCTGACGCCGATCTAGCCCGGGGGTGTCGAGGCCATCCATGAATTAAATGACCTCGCCCTATTTTCTGAGTGGCTCATAATTAAGCAGGTCAAGCCCGGGCGTTGTGTAGATACACACTGCAGGCACGCCGTGTTAATTTAGCAATGCAGGGCTACGCAGTCTGCATCATTAAGGATCTTGAGCGGCTCGACGAGCTGTGCTGCAGTGAGATCAATAACGGCATTTTATCATCGAATGGCTCTTATTTTCACTACCTTTACCTGACACTACCAAAATGCATGCTATATTTTAGGCTGACAGGAATGATGTTGTCGATTAGCTCGTAACGGGACAGCGCTCCAGCAGTGCGTTCTAACAGTGACACACTGCTCCGACCGTCATGCCCACCAAGTCGCTATTCAGACCAGTTGATTGCGGCTGGTTGGGAGCGAGTACCACTAAAACGCATATGAAAGACAGACATTCGAATGCATTGGCAAGCCCCATTAGACCGGATCCAACCGGAGTATAGCTCTATTCGCTGAAGCCTTCATTTCACTCGCATGAAGACAGCATTTCCGTCTGTTGTCAACCGGTTCTTCCCGTGTCGCGTAAGACGTCTTCTTCGTGTTGCGGGCGCGGAGCGTAGCCGGCAGATCGTGGGCTCCGCGCTCACCGTCTGATACAGCCTTTGTTCTGAGTGGAAGTTGATGCTAGCATTGGCACGCTGGCGACCGCGGCGGTAGCAGCATTGACAAACACCAACCGTTACATTTGATTGCACCAAATGACCCATCAGCGTTCGCGGTGTTGGTAGCGGTATGCAAACCCCACCTTCCCTTCTAAATATTTTGGGTGCATCGATATGTCGATCGCACAGCGCCCACACACCACGAAAACCAGACTGATGGTCGACATCCCCTTCCCCTCCCCCCCCTCCCATCTCCACGCCTTTAGCCTGCCTTCATATAACGCCAGGTAATACAAGTTATACGTCTCGCAGCACTATGATGTTACGGGGATAGCCCAGGAAATCGTTCAGTCTGATGAGAAAACGGAATGTTAGACGAAGCCTGGCATCTTTGAAGCGGTTTCTTTGACGCATTGACAATTCTATTTCGGATTACGAGTAATTCCATTAACCTTAGGTCGGGTATGAAAACCGGACGAGATCGAAACCAAATTGCCTTTTTACTGGTGACCCTGCTTTGTGGGTGATACTTGACGCTCATTTCAATTTTCGTTTTTATCACAAAGCGGTAACAAATGTGGTAGTTGAACTTCATGAGAATGAGAAAAGATCATTAATCTAGAACTACTCTGATCAACCTTTGACGCTTATCGAAATTTAAAATTAAAAATAATCTCGCATGTTTGTGGTCAACGTGACTTTCTGAAGGCCAAATAAGGTCTCTGGCCTGAAATAAACACCGCCTTTTTTCTTTAGTAGAATAATCTTGGTTAAGGGTGACGCCATTAGGAGGCCAGAGGAACTTAATACATCGGTCTGGTATTTTATCGTGCTCGACCTCTTTGGCTCGAATCTCATAACCCAGGGTCTTCAAAACATGACACAACGGAGTTCACATACAGCTCTGTTTGATTATAAATTAGATGCCTCTAGCTCTCTCAGATTTTGTCATCTGAGGGGTGGGGGGCAAACTGGCATCCCATCGAACGGTGTCACATTCTACCGGCCACCCATGCACGTAATATTAGCCTTTTTGCCTGATTATTATTAGACGAAGACGTCATTCGGTACAAAATTTGAAACATACAAAACTTATGCAAAGCAGGAGCCAAGCCCATCGTCGTTGCCAGGTCACAAAATAGCCAATGCGTTTTGCCGGGGAAACATTTTGTTTTTGGTCATCATGTACCTACTCATCATTTAACACGCACTCGGACGGGGAATGGTCAATTTGACCCCCCCCCCCCCCCAACCACTCCCCCCGGAAGTATGAACTATGCGAACGTGCGCGCGCTTAGAACAGAAATGAACCTCAGTAACTGCATAAGTTGCCAATTGCATTTGCGAGGAACATTGTTCATATAGATAAGACAGTACTAATAGCCTCATTCCTCGGAGACAAACCAGAAGAATGGAGATAAAGATGCGTTGATATTTCGGCGACGTACCGTTATCGAAACAATAGGCTGTGCCCCTGGTAGTGACACCCTTGTCTGTCGCACACGCCGCCGGGCTCAGACGCGACCAGCAGCGGGACCTACACTGCATCGGGCCTGCTCCGCAGCCGGGCCGGGCGGTCCCTCCCGGCCTGTCGCGGGCCTAAGCGGGCATTGTTCCGAGTCCGTCGGTCCGGTCGCGCGCGCGCACCTGACGCTGTCAGTGACGGCAGAGGTCGCCAAGTGACAAGATCGAGGACGGCCAGCCGCGACCGAGTGCGTGCTAGGCACCCCGTCCGCATGTCGTTGGTGGCCTCTACCTACAGTGCGGCGCGAGTCCTTCGGCCGCGACACCCGACACTCGCTGGCCTGGGCGCCGCCTGCGCCCCAGTCCCCGGCGCCAGTGAATAAATCCGTAAACGCCCTACGTGGAGCCGAGGCGACATTCTCGTCCACTTGCGGGAGGTTAAATGTCAAAGGCACGCGCGGATATGGCGGCGCGGCTCGTTCGCGCCTGTCGCCCGAGCGGCACATTCCTGCCGTGTTCACAAGTGCTGGAACTGCGCCCGTTGGCGGCACGGGCGGCGTCGTGAGGTGACGCGCCGCGCCGGGGCACGGCCAGGTGACCGCCTCCAGTCACGGCCGGGAGTTAGCCAGCTGTTTCGCGGGTCGGGCACTCTCCGCGAGCGCGCGAGTGCTCTGTGGCTTCAGTGGTGTCACTTGCTGGTGTCACTAGCACAGCCAGTGGTGTCATTAGCACAGCCACTCAGCGACGCACGCATCGCGCGCGACGTGTAGATGGTCGACTGGTAGTGTCGAGGACCTCACAGGAGCCCAAGACGGCAAATAATGGA